CGTATTAGGGTCTTCCTTTAGTATTTCTTATAAGGAAGATCTGCTAGCAGTAAGTTCTCTCGATCTTTGTTTCTCAGGGGATGTTTTTATTTCACCTTCATTTTTGAAATACAGTTGTGCTGGATGTAGAATTCTCGTTTGACAGATTTTTTTTTCTTTCAGCATTTTGAATTTCTAATTCTACTACCTTCTGGCTTTCCATTGTTTCCGATGAGTAGTCTGCTATTAATCTTACTGTGACTCTCTTGTACCTAGAGAGCTGGTTTTCTCTTACTGCATTCGAGATTTTCTCCTTGCCTTTGATTTTCAACATTTGACTATGATGTGTCTAGGTATTGATGTGTTTGTGTTTAGCTTACTTGGAGTTCTTTGAGCTTCTTAGTTGTAGATTAATGTTCTTCATCAAATTTGGGAAATATTCTGCCATTGTTTCTTCGAAAGAATTTCCTCCTTTTTTTCCCTCCCTTCTCTCCTCTCCTTGTAGGACTCTAATTACATGTATGTTAGTACACTTGATGGTGACAAGCCTTTGAGGCTTCGTTCGTTTTTCTTCATTCTCATTATTTCTTTTCCAGACTGGACAATTTATATTAATCTATTTGGAGTTCATTGATTTTTCTATCAGTTCAAATCTTCTCTTGAGGACTTCTTGTGAATTTACATTGTAGTTATTGTACTTTTCAACTCCAAAATTCCATTTGCTTTTTTCCAGTTTCTATCTTTTTATTAATGAGTCATTGTTATATTATCTTATAACTTTTTTAAAGATTTATTTATTTATTTTAAAGATTTTATTTATTTGAGAGAGATAACAAGAGAGAACACGAGCAAGGTGGAGGGGCAGAGAGAGAGGGAGAAGCAGGCTCCCTACTGATCAGGGAGCCAGGCATGGGGCTTGATCCCAGGACCCTGGGACCATGATCTGAGCCAAAGGCAGATGCTTAATGACTGAGCCACCCAGGCACGCCTAAGGATTTATTTATTCATTTGCAGGGAAGAGGGAGAGGGACAAAGGGAATCCTGAAGTAGACTCCCTGCTGAATGCAGAGCCTGATGCAGAGCTCTATCCCAGGACCCCAAGATCATGACCTGAACTGGAATCCAGAGTCAGCAATTTAACCGACTGAGCCACCCAGGTGCCCCTATCTTGTAATTTTTTAAACATGGTTTCCATTTGGTTCTTTGAACATATTAATAATAGTAGTTTTGGGCGCCTGGGTGGCTCAGTCGTTAAGCGGCTGCCTTTGGCTCAGGTCATGATCTCGGGGTGCTGGGATCAAGTCCTGCATCAGGCCCCTTGCTCAGAAGGGAGTCTGCTGCTCCCTCTCTCCCTGCTTGTGCTCTCTCTTTCTCTCTCTCTCTCAAATAAATAAATAAACTCTTAAAAAAATAATAGCAGTTTTGAAGTCTTTCCTGCTAATTCCAATATCTAGAACTTTTCAGAGACAGTTTTTATTGACTGATTTTTTTTCCTCTGTATGGATCATTATTTTACCCCTTCTTTGTGTCTGTTTTAATTTTTTGTTGAAAACCGACTATTTTAGGCGCACCTGGGTGGCTCAGTCAGTTAAGCATCTGCCTTCGGCTCAGGTCATGATCTCCAGGTCCTGGGATCGAGTCCCACGTTGGGCTCACAGCTCATCGGAGAGTCGGCTTCTCCCTCTCCCTCTGCCTCTCCCCCTGCGTGTGTGCTCTCTCTCTCTCTAATGAATAAATAAAATCTTTAAAAAAATAAAAAATAAAATAAAAATTTCTTTAAATGGGACGCCTGGGTGGCTCAGTTGATTAAGAGTCTGCCTTCGGCTCAGGTCATGATCTCAGGGTCCTGGGATTGAGTCCCACATCGGGTTCCCTGCTCAGCGGGAAGCCTGTCTCTCCCTCTTACTCTCCTCTGTGTACTCTCTCTTTCTCTCTCTCAAATAAATAAATAAAATCTTAAAAAAAAAAGACAACTCCCGCCGAGCAGGGAGCCCAACGTGGGGCTCAATCCCAGGACCCTGGGATCATGAACTGAGCCAAAGGCAGTCGCTTAACCAACTGAGCCACCCAGGCGTCCCTAATTTATTTATTTTTATTCTGGCATTTTATCAATATAGCCGTTGTAATAGAATTTACCATCTTGGGTAAAACTGACCATCCAGTTAATCCAGGTACTTGGTGGGCCCTTGCAGTATGTAGCGTCAGGTGTTACTTTATCTGTGGACTTTTTCTTGGATTATAGTTTTTAATATTAGTACTATACCATTGTTTGGTACCATTGTTTCCTTCTATGAGGAATCTAATAATAAATATGTATACTGCATCTTGTTTGCCTGTCTTCTATTTCAACCTTTTTTTTCCTGTGATTCTTTTCCTTTTTTATTCTCTTAGCTGTTTTCTGGCATTTCTTCAATGGCATTTATTAAATTTTCAGTTGAATCTCTTTCCCTGGGAATCTTGTGGCTTAGGCCTCATCTCTGAGACTGGTTTTATCTTTCTCTTCACTTTTTTCCGAGTACAGTCATTCAGTTCTTATTTCATTATGTCGTTTTCTTCAACCATTTCTGTCCTTTGTTTTAATGATTTATTTATTTATTTATTTATTTGAGAGAGAGAGAGCACGAGCGGGGGAGGAGCAGAGGGAGAAGCAGACTCCCCTCTGAACATGGAGCCCCATGCTGGGCTCAATGCCAGAACCCTGAGATCATGACCTGAGCTGAAATCAGGAGTCAGACAGTTAAACGACTGAGCCACCCAGGTGCCCTTATCCTTTGTTGTTGTTGTTGTTTTAAGATTTTATTTATTTATTTGAGAGAGAGAGAGTGCGCACAGGTAAGGGGAGGGGAGGAGAGGGAGAATCAGGCTCCTGGCTGAGCCGGGAGCCGGACGCAGGGCTCAATCCCAGAACCCTGGGATCATGACCTGAGCCGAAGGCAGACGCTTAACTGACTGAGCTACCCAGGTGCCCCCTATTCTTTGTTTTAAAGCAAAGTGTTAGAAATAAAATTGATACCTAATATTAGACGAATACTCAAATTATGATCCATCTGTAGAATGAAACACAATACCATTGAATAAAAGAATGAAGAAATTCTTGATAGTGTTTCTCTGCCCTGATCTCCAAGGTATTAAGTGAAAAAATCAAGTTGCAGAATGGGGAGCATAATATGCTACCATTTGTGTTAAAAAGGAATATATAAAGAAATAAAAATATGTGTGTATGTATACATATATGTGTATACAGATGGTCCCTGACTTACGATGGCTCGATTTAGGATTTAAAAAAAAAAAAAAAGATTTATTTATTTATTTGAGAGAGAGAGAGAAAGTGCGCATGTGTGCACGAGCGGGGGTGGGGGCCGGGCACCACAGAGGAAGAGAGTGACAAGCAGACTCCCCACTGAGCGGGGGCAGGAGTGGGCAACGTGGGGCTTGATCCCAGGACCCTGAGATCATGACCGGAGCTGAAATCAAGAGTCGGACGCTCAACCAACTGAGCCATGCAGGCGCCCCCAATTTAGGATTTTTTTACTTTATGATAGTGCAAAGGCAATATGCGTTCCGTGGAAACTGTACTTAGAGTTTTGAATTTGGATCTTTTCCCCGGGCGGGTGATACGTAGTACGAGCCTCTGTTGTGATGCTGGATAGTAGCAGTGAGCTGCAGCTCCAAACTTTATTATAAAATAGGCTTGTGTCTTAGCTGATTTTGCCCAACTGTAGGTGAATGTTAGTGTTCTGAGCACGTTTAAGGCAGGCTAGGCTAAGCTATAATGTTTGGTAGGTTAGATGTAGTAAACACATTCTTTATTTAGAATATTTTCAATTTAGGGTGGCTTTATCAGGACATCACCGATAAAGGAAGTTGAGGAAGATCTGTATATAATGCACAATCTCCCATTACATCTTTCTGAGCTGGGAATTATTCTCTCACTTTAAGATGATGTTGACTCTTGGGGCACCTGGGTGGCTCAGAAACCAACCGGAAACCAAATCCGATTCTTGGTTTCAGCTCAGGTCATGATCTCAGGGTCATAAGAGCGAGCCCTGCATTGGGCTTACGTGCTGGATGTGGAGCCTAAGATTCTCTCTCTCCCTCTCCCTCTGCCCCCCTCCCCGAAAAAAGATGATATTTACTCTTCAGTATATTTTTCCAAGGCAACTTGACTTTTCATATCTCCAGGTCCTTGAGGAACACTTCCCTGGTACCCACTTGCTGAGAGCACTGGACTTTTCTAACATTATTCTGTGGTTGCTCATCTTCCTGCTCTTTGAATATTGGGATTCTGTAGGGTTTTGTAGTTAAACTGCTCTTAACACTTGCAACTTAGATAGACTCATCTGCTCTTACGGTTTTGACTGCCATCTCTAAGCTGCTAATTCCCAAAAATCATATCTCATTTGAGTCTAGGCCCATTTATCTTACTGCTCTGCTTTCTGGACATGTCTTCTTTCAGTTCAACAGTTATTCTAAATGTTTATGTCACACTGTTTGTCACATCTATCTGAGAAGTTTCTAGTCCTGGATTAACCCAACTTTCCTCTTTCTCCATGCCTGTACCTGAGTGGCTGGCTATTGCTGCAGCAAATCACGATCACGGGTCTCCCGTTCACCCTCAGTGCTGCTCCGTGGTGCTGCCCCTTGTCTGCTTATCACAAGGGATCTTGTACACCTTCTCTCTTCAAACCTCTCTCTCTGTCTCTGTCATCTCTACGCTCAGAAAATTCATATAATATATGCAACAGGTATTTGTTAACTCTTTGCTATATGTCCTCCTAATTCATAGAGAGAACTGAAGCCATGATACAGAAACTTCCAAATCTGGTCTGATTTCCATCTGTTGGTGAATGTGCTCTGACTGCCCAACGAGACGTAATAGCAAGCCTTGCATATAGAAACTGTGTTATGCTTCTCTTCCTCTCCAGAGCTGAGCATAGGGCCCTGAGGTCCATAGGGACTTGGAACCTAGTTTCAACTGATACCGTCTTGCGTTTCTCACCACCCCGGCTTGTCTCTTACAGCTGATGTTGAAGGCCAATCGTTAAGACAACGAGACAAGCGGCTTAGTTTAAATTTGGTAAGTTTGGCACTTGAGTTCCTTTAAGCCTTAATTTGACCAAAAATAGCCTGACCAACATATGTTCCCTTGAGGTCTTTTGAGACTCAGCACTGAGTCTCTGAGGACCCTTTCAGTCTCCCCTAAGGCTTGCACTTGTCTGGGAACTACTGCACTGAGTGTTCTGTGAGGACCCTGCCAGTTCTAATGGTTCAGACCCTTGTCTGGCTCAGGGCAGGACTTCAGGCATCACATTATATGTAGAGCATCTGCAGACATTCCTAACCCACTGTCTTCTAGCATCACCTTCAGGAGAGTCTCACTCACCTCATACAATAGGTACAGAAGCAGAGCTGCAGTTGGAGGCCTATCGGACTTCCCTAAGGAAGTTCGAGGTTATTCTTGGATAATTTGCAACCAAAGCCCCATGTGCGGCCGTTTCCATGACCGTTCTGTTTTCTTGCAGCCGTGTGGGTTCTCCCCCATGTCCCCTACGGCTTCAGGCGGGGCTGAAGACGGCTACGTGCCCATGGGCCCCCAGGCGGCCATCTCTGGTCTTGGAGCCCACTGCAGCCATGATGACTACATCCCAATGAGCCCAGGAAGCATCTCAAGCCCGCTGCCTGAGCTGCCTGTGGACCTGGAGCCTCCGCCAGTGAACAGAGATCTCAAGCCTCAGAGGAAACGTAAGCCACTTGACCAGGCGCGCCATGCAGGAGAGGGGGTACGGGTCCTAGAGGCCATGTGAAAAAGTTTCCTTCCTGACACTCTCTGGGAAGAAAGCACTAGAGGAACCACCTCCGAGGGCTGGGAAGTGTAAGGAGCAATGGCCGGGACTGCATGGGAAGGGCCGGGAAAGCTTGCCACCCCAGACTGAGAAAAGGAGGCATGGGACTTAAGGCACTATGGCCCTGCAAATACAGCCTACAAAGCCAAGTTCATTCCAGAGGGCTCATCTTCAGCTGCTTCCCTAACAAAGGCCCAGAACTAAGTGACGATGATGAAACCCGCCTGGCATCTCTTTGTTTAAACAGACTTGAATATAATCACAGTGAGGTAGCCAAGAATGACTTTTGACAGAAATTCCTGAATGCCAGACCTGGTCACATGCAACTTCTCACTCACTGCCCCGCACGTGCCCATCAGCAGAGGTGTCTGGGGCCAATGAGCAGTCTGGATCCTATAGGCCCAGAGCTCCTCGAAGCTTCTGCCTTGTTCCCAGGCAGCTTCTCTAGTCTGCAAACAGCATGGACAGAGAGGGAAGAAAAGCAGGTCAAAGTAACTTACTAACTTCATTCTTGCCCGTTGCCACCTGCCCAGTAGGTGTGTGTGATTACTAGGAACTATTTGGTACAATGACCGTGATCTCTGGTTGGTCCCCACCTCTCTTTGGTCTTTGGAAAAACTACTGTTTCAAGCGGCCTTGCCCCAAATTGGTAAAAGGCCCCTAGTCATGCCTGGTCGTTCTAGTCTCACCCCTTCAGTTCGAGTCAGATCACATCTGCAGCATGTTTGCTGGGGGTATGCTGCTGTGCTAGGCCCTGGGTGGGAGGTAAAGATGAGGAAGCAGGTTCTTCAGTGGGAGGGGGAGGAAGATGGGTAAGAACCAGCTGGAAGAAGAAAAATGATCCAGAGTCAGTACCAAATAAGAGAACGAACCCTGTCTTCGGAGTTTCAGAGGAAACAACCATTCATTCTGGTCAGGAGTGATTTCACAGGGACATGTAACTTTGAGGCCGCTATTTATTTTGCTCAATTAATCTATAGCAGTGTTATCCAACAGAACTTTCTGTGATGATAGAAATGTGGCTATTGAACACTTGAAATGTGGCCAGTACAACTGAAGAACTGAAATTTTTTGACTGTATTCCCCATGCTGTACCTTTCATCCCCAAGACTGGATTTTAAATTTTATTTAATGTTAAGAAATATCTACTGAAATAGCCATGTATGGCCAGTGCAGCTCTATAGGACCTGGCAATCAGAGGCATGAACATGTTGGATGGACTCAGGGCTGGGGATTCACTGGGTGGGTGTGCAGGTGGACACCTGAGCCAGGAGGACAGGTTCTGACAGGGGTGGCTACAAGGGTGGACCCTGGGGCCCAACAGGGAGAGGGCAGGGGGAGTAGCCACGAGTTGGCTGGTCAGTGAGACCGATGCCACGGTGTCATGCCACCAGGAGAGACCTTCTCACCAGGGACTGTGTGACTCACATGTCCTTTCCAGCTCAGTACCTCACCCAGATCAGAGGCTCCTGGGAAACTGATGCTCTGATGATATGGAGGGGACTTAAATAGTCTCTACCATGTAGTCTAGTGGAGGAAACAAAAGGAACCTGGTCAAGGCCCTGGTAGAGGGATACATGCATGACCAACTCAACAAGTTGGACGACTGAGGTGGAGTAAGGGTCAGGTGCCAAGAGCTTCTCTGCATGCCAAGGCTACTGCAACAAATGAGCCAAAAAATCCCTGTCCTCCCAGAGCACAGTCTAGATCCGAATCAGATAATCACAGATGAATATATCATTACAAACTGCAAGGAGCTCTATGAAGGGTAAATACAAGAACTCATGAGAGCCCATGATGTGGGGCCTGATCTTGTCTGGAGGTCAAAGAAGGCCTTCCTAGGCAGGAGACATTGAGCTGAGATCTGAAGATGACTAACCAGGCAGAGAGATGGGGAGGAATGTTCTACGTAGAAAGACTATCAGGTAGACAATGAACTGGAAGAGGGGAAGACTAGAACCTGGGTGATCATCTTTGCCTGTAGTAAGAAAGGTAAAATTTCCATTTTGGACATGCCAAGTGTAAGGTAGGTGTTGGGATTACATACGGTCAGAGACTTTCATCTGTTTTGCTCACACTGTGCCTCCCAACACCTAGAACCATGCCTGATACACAGTGAGTTCTCAAATGCATATTGACTAAATGTGTTGCCCCATTGTTACCCCTAGCTGGTAATGTGACCAGTGAGGTAGGGAAGGGTAGATCAGTGAATTCACATTCATCGTCAGTGCTGCTTGTTGGTCAGTTTGGACTGGATGTGCTAATAAGTAAGTGGAATGTCATAATTTTAGTCTTTCGATTCTGGCCTTTAACTCCTGAGAACTTACCGTACTGGATATCGTGTATTATCTTGTAGCACGGCCACCTCCCCTGGACCTGAGAAACCTCTCCACCATCCGGGAACATGCGTCTCTAACCAGGACCTGCACTGTACCTTGGTAGGTCGTTGATTGCTCAAAGGGACCTCATCCAGCACAGGCACTCCCGGTTTTAGTTAAGACTCTGATTAAATGTAGCTGAAACCCACTTGATCTAGCTTAAGTCGAAAGAGAGATGGGGTTTGTTATCATGAGCCAGAAATATTTTGTAGATCACAAAGGAAGGAATATAACTGGATGTCCCAGGATGCTGGAGTTAGGAACGAGCTGTTGGGAACCCAAAGAACTTTCCACCTCTCACGTCTGCTTCTCTCTTCCCCATGAACCGTAGATCTTGAGCTTATTTACATGCTATAATTCCAGTACCAGCTGTGATAGGCTCTTTTTTGACCCCAACTCACATTTCCTGGGAGAGGGAGTTGGCCTGCCCCAGCCTGAGTGGAGTCACCTGTGGCCCGGGGGGAGGGCCAGTAGTACCAACATGGCTTCCAGAAGCCCAGCCTTGTGAACGAGTAGGAGGAGGGAGTTTTCAGAGAAAGAGGGATGGTGCGTGGACCTGGCAGACAAACCCCAAATGTGTCTGCACTCTCTCATCTCATCTTTTAGAAGTTGTATTTTCAGAGTTGTGGGCCTGGCCCAAGAGTTTCCTGGTTCTCTCTCTACGCCACAGGATACAATCACTTTGCAAAGCAGACCTCTGCCAGGAGCTCTCTCTCCGGCCATGACCGCAGAGCGATGCAGTCTGCGCTTCTGACTCAGGAGTAGGGTGAAAATTGATTTGCAGTCTTGTTCTCATCCCATCAGAGGAATGGCCACACCTCATTACTTTTGCCAGTTACTTTGAATGGAAACAAGAGAGCCCCAAAGGAGCGTTTTGTTTTTGTTTGTGTTTTGTTTTTGTTTTTGTTTTCTAAATGATATGATGCCTTGGTCTGTTTCTAGAAAGCTTGTGAGCTCTAACACATGGAGGGCCTGGAAAAAAGTAACCCTTGAGAATTGGGAGCCATTCGCCCCACAATGGGACAGAAGCTGGGCAGTCTCTACTGCTTCAGGAATCGCTTTGGCCAGAAGGAAATTTTATCTGGAAGGGGAGGGCTGAAAAGCCCACGGGGACCATGTCAGTTCCTGGCTGGCTTTCAGAGCAGCTGTAAGACATTGCTTTGACCTCATCTATATTTTTGTTCTCAGCAATCGAACCAGATTTCTCTCTCCAGAAAGAAATGGTATTAATTCTGCAAGATTTTTTGCCAATTCTGTTTCCAGAGAAGAGGAAGAAAGCTACATCCAAATGGTAATCCTGTTTCACACTCTTCATATGCTTCACCCCAATGTGTATTCTTATGAGTTCATTATAAAGGAAACATGAACTTGAGAAAGCCCCCTGCAATCTGAAAACAGTCACTTGAATGTGATACCAGGTTACTGGGAACAAATCTATTTGAAGCTGGTTTTCTTTCCTGCAATATCCAGCTCCTCCTAGCATTTTGAGGCTGTGCTATTGCAAGAGTACCCAGGGTTGAGGCACGTGTAATGGGAGAATGGAAATGTCGGCCATTCTTTTCACCAAGGCTATGATATCCTATTTGATCTAAGTGACTTTGTAGCTCCTTGGATGTGCAGAGCAAACTCACATATCCTGTGTTCCTTTCTGCCAAACCACCTGAAGGATGAGTCACTTGAGTCCCAGTGGGAGGGAGTACAGTGTCCTGGGCTGTGAATGTGTCTTAGTCTCTGGAGACTCGGGTTATAGGGTCTTTCTGTAAATCTGAGCAGATAGAGACGTGACATCTCTATCCTTTAATTAAGTAATTAATCTCCCCCTCCCACCCTGTGTTGTTCCTTCCGTTTTCTTTAGCTTGGATTCTATTGGCAGCATGGGTTTTTGAAGACAGAGGGATTTTTAGCACCTCTGGGAATTATGAAGCACGTTAGCCAGGACCGACCCTGTTCTGGAACTTAATGTAGGGAACTCCAGAGAGAATCTGTGTTTGACCGATGAAGTTTTGAAAAGAGATCATAGAAGACTGCTATTCAAGGCACTGTGACTATATGTACTTTTGAAAAGACAGTTGTAGCCCTCCTATGCATGAGGTTAGTAGGCAAGTGAAAATCTAAACACGGTCATCTCCAGTGAAGCAGTAATTAAATGCTTCATTTTGCCTTTCCATTTGATAAAAATTGTGCTGTAAGTTCACTTAACCATATGCAGATGGAAAGTGACTCATATACAAATCTGCTGTGGTCTTCCTGATGTTTTTCACACTTTGTAATGGCCCTTGGGAAACTTCTAGAAGAAAACACTCTTATAAAGGATACTGACCAGCTGTGCTCTGTCTCCAGAGAACAGAAAAGGGAAGTGAATCTATAACCTAATAGAAGCAAGTGCAAAGTCATTCCAGATACTAGCAGTTCATCCCTGATCTTTGAGGTTATGAGAAAGCGCAGTATTTCATTAACAGCACAGTTACGGATTGATTTCTTGCCTAAGTTTATAATCATTAGTTAATGACTGTCTGGGCATTATTAGGCCATATGACACGGTAGATTAAGAGCCCAGAATACTGGCTGAAGGCAGGTAGCTGTGGGGAAAGCACCATATAGGTGTGTTTAAAGCCTATCCCATCTCATTCAATTGTAGGTTTCTTCAACTGTAGTAATAATAATAATTTCAAATGACTTTGAGTTACATCATTTCACTTGTTCCACGTAACAAGCCTACATGACTCATAGGGTTTGATTTTGATTTTGTGCATAATCGTATATGTTAACTTTTTTTCTCTCTGAGAACAGGGTCTGATCTGAATGTAAAAATTTAGGCCAGGGGCTGAAATACAAGTTTTGCTTTATTAAAGTTATGTATCATTTTTTTTGGTTTCTTTCAATGTTTGTGAAATTATAGAAAATTTAGAAGAATGAAAATTTTAACTTATGTGATCTCTTTTTTACAGGACTTCCACATTCTATAATTTCAATAGTTTTGTAAGACTTTTATAGTAGAATTCTAAACCCTCAATCTCACATTAAATGTTTTATTATGGCATTATAATACTTTTTAGTTTTTAGATTATCTTACACTGAAACTGACTTTCTCTTGGTGTGCGGTTCTATGAATTCTAACATATACGTGGATTTGCGTAACCACCACCACAATCAGCACACTGAACAACTTCGAGGTACTCCTTCGTTCTACGTCTTCATAGTCACAGCCTCCCATGACCCTAATCCCTGGCAACCACTGATGTATTCTTCATCGCTATAGTTGTGTCTTTTCAAGAATGCCACATAAATGGAATCATAGAGTATGCCATCTTTTGAGACTGGTTTCTTTCACTCAGTATAATTTCTTTGAGATTCACCCAAGTCGTAACACATGTCAACAGTTCTGTTTTATTGTCGAGTACTATTCAAGTGTATGGATGTGCCACAGTTTATCTACTCACCCACTGAAGGACATTTGGATTGTTTCAAGTTTTTTGGCATTTATGAATAGAATTGTTACAAACATTTTTTTTTTTGTTTGTCTTAAGTAAGCTCCATGCCCAATGTGGGGCTCGAACTCACAAACCCGAGACCAAGAGTCACATGCTTTGCTGACAGAGGCAGCCAGGTGCCCCAGCAACGTTCTTTTACAGATTTTGGTTTTTTTGATACCTTTTACTAAAGTGGAATATACAGAACATAAAATATACCATTTTAACCATTTTTAGATGTACAACTCAGTGGCATTAAGCTATGTTCACAATGTTGTGCGACCATCATCACTATGTGTTTCCAGAACTTTTCCATCATCCCAAACAGAAACTCTGTACCCATTAAACTATAACTCCCTAGGCCCTCTCCAGAAAGCCCCTGGAAACCTCTGTTCTACTTCGTGGCTTTGTGAATATGCCTATTCTAAGTGCCTCGCAGAAATGGAATCATATGATACTTGTCCTTTCGTGCCCCCAGCGTTCATTCATATCGTAGCATGCCTCCAAGTTTCATTCCTTTCTAAAGCTAATACTCCATTGGATGGAGAGGCCACATTTCGTTTACCCAGTCATCTGTTGATGGACATTTGGGTTGTTTCTGCCTTTTGGCTATTGTGAGTAATGCTGCTAGGAACATGGGTGTACAAGTATCTGAGTCTTTGCTTTCAATTCTTTTGGATGTATACCTAGAGGTGAAATTGCTGCATCCTAAGATACTTTATGTTTAACTTTTTGAGGAACCACCAAACTGTTTTTCACAGCAGCCAAAGCATTTTACATGTCCACCAGCAGGTGCAAAAGCTTCTGATTTCTCTACATTCTCACCAGTACTTGTTATTTTCCATTCGTTTGTTTTTAATTATAGGCATCCTCCTGGGTGTGAAGTGGTATCTCATGGTGGTTTTTGTTTGCGTTTCCCTGATGACTAATGATAAGCATCTTTTCATGTGCTTATTGGCCACTTGTGGATCTTTGGAGAAATGACTAATCAAGTCCTTTACCCATTTTTGAATTAGGTTGTTTGTGTTTGTTGTTGTTGCCTTGTAGAAGTTTTTTCAAAAATATATTATGGATATTAACCCCTAATCAGATCATGATTTGCAAATATTTTCTCCCATTCTGTGGGTTGTCATTTCACTCTCTTGGTAGGGTCTTTGGGTGTACAGAACTTGTAAATTATGATGAAGTTGAATTTCTTTTTTTCTTCTATTGCCTCTGCTTTTGATATCATATCCAATAAATCATTGCCAAATTCGATGTCATGAAGTTTTCTCTTATGTTTTCTTCTAAGAGTTTTATAGTTTTAGCTCTTATGTTGAGGTCTTTAATTCTTATTGAGTTAATTTTTATGTGTAGTCTAAGGTTAGGATCCAACTTCATTCTTTTGCCTGTGGATATCCAGTTTTCCCAGCATAATTTGTTGGAAAAACTGCCCTTTCCCCACCGAGTGGTCTCAGCACCTTCACTGAAAGTCAGTTGACCATATATATGAAAGTTATTTCTGGGCCCGTTGGTTTTTATGTCTGTCCTCACTCCAGTATCACACTGTTTTGATTTATAGTAGCTTTACAGTAAGTTTTGAAATCAGAAAGTGTGAGTCCTCCAACTTTGTTCTTTTTCAAGATTGAGTTGGTTATCCAGGGTTCCTTGAGATTCCAAGCGTTTTAGGATGGGTTTTTTTTTTATTTCTGCCAAAAATGCCATTGGGATTTTGGTAGGGAATGCATTGAAGCTGCAGATTGTTTTGGGTAATGTTGTAATCTCAACAATATTATGTCTTCCAGTCCATGAACATAGACGGAAATGTCTTTCCATTTATTTATGTCTGCTTTGCTTTCTTTCAGCAGTGTTTTGTAGTTGTCATTACAAGTCTTTGGTTAAATTTATTCCCAAATACTTCATTCTTTTTGATGTTGTTGTAAATGATATTGTTTTCTTGATTTCCTTTTCTCAGATGGTTCAGCTAGTGTATAAGTATGCAACTGAATTTTGGGTGTGATTTTTGTATCCTGCAACCTTGCTGAATTTGTTTATTTTTTTGTTATTATTTTTTTGCATGGAATCTTTAGAGTTTTCTACATATAAGACCATGTTGTCAACAGATTATTTTGCTTATTCTTTTCCAATTTGGCTGCCTTTTTATTTTTTTCTTGCCTAATTGCTATATATGGCTAGAACTTCCAATACTTTGTTGAATATCAATTGCAGAAATGGGCTGGCTTGTCTTGTTCCTGATCTTGAGGGCCTTTAACAGATTTTGTGTGGGCATAAGTTTGCATTATCTAAGTTTTCATTTCTCTAGAGCAGAAATGGGGGATGACTTCGCCCCATAAGGGACATTCGGCAATGTCTAGAGACATTTTTGGTTGCCACAACCTGGCACAGAGGATTGTGGTGCTAGCATTTTAGCAGGAAGAGTTCAGGGATGATGCTACACATCCTATAGTGCATAGGACAACTCCCCACAACAAAGAATTATCGGACTCCAAAAGTCAATAATGCCACTGTTGAAAAATCCTCCTCTGGGGTAAATACCCAGAAGTGAGATTGCTGGGTTATCAACTGTGTTTAACTGGGTCATCAGTTGTATGTTTAACTTTACAAGATACTCCAAAACCTTTTCCATAATGGCTGTATGATTTTGCACACCCATCAACTATTTATGAGAGTTTTAGTTGCTCCACTGGAGCATGCTTGGTCCTGCAGTTTTTTTGGTTTTTTTAATTTAGACATTCTAACATGTAGATAGTGGTATCTCATTGTCGTTTTAGCATATATTTCTCTCATGGCAAATGTCAGACTTATTTTTGTGTGCTTATTTGGCATTTATGTATCTTCTTTGGTGGAGTATCTATCTATCGGTTGGATCCTTTTGCCCGAGTTTTAATTGGGTTGTTTGTTTTCTTACTTTGGGTTTTGAGAGCTCTTTACATATTCTGTGTACAAGTTATCTGATGGATATGTGACTTGCAAAAATTTTCTCTTGAGTCTAGAGCTTGCCTTTTCATTCTCTTCTGTCTTTTGCAAGCAAGGATTTTAAATTTAATTAAGCCAAATTTATTTGTTTTTATTTTTATTTCAGTATAGTTAACATACAGTGTTATATTAGTTTCAGATGTACAATATAGTGATTCAACATTTCCATACAACACCCACTGGTCATCACAACAAGTGCACTCCTTAATCCCCATCATCTGTTTAACTCTTCACCCCACCCACCTCCCCCCGGTAATCATTGGTGTGTTCTCTATAGTTAAGAGTCTGTTTCCTGTTTTGCCTCTCTTTCTTTTTTTTCCCTTTGTTCATATGTTTTGTTTCTTAAATTCCACATATGAGTGAAATTATATACTATTTGTCTTTCTCTGACTGACTTATTTCGCTTAGCATTATACTCTCTAGCTCCATCCATGTTGTTGCAAATGGCAAGGTTGCATTCTTTTTTATGGCCAAATAATATTCCATTATGTGTGTGTGTGTGTGTGTGTACACCACATCTTCTTTATCCATTCATCAGTCAATGGACACTTGAGCTACTTCCATAATTTGGCTATTGTTGATAATGCTGCTATCAATGTTGGGGTGCATGTATCCCTTTGAATTTGTGTTTTTGTATTTTCTAGGGAAATACCCAGTCGTGCAATTACTAGATCACAGGGTAGTTCTATGTTTAACTTTTTGAGGACCCTCCATACTGTTTTCCAGAGTGGCTGCACCAACAGTGCAAGAGGGTTCCTTTTTCTCTACATCCTTGTCAACACCTACTGTTTCTTGTGGGTTTGTTTTGTTTTTTTGTTTGTTTGTTTTGTAATCTCTACACCCAATGTGGGGCTTGAACTTACAACCCTGAGATCAAGAGTCGCATGCTCTACTGACTGAGGCAGCCAGGCACCCTATCTTGTGTTAATTGGTTTTAGCCATTCTGACAGGTGTGAGGTGATACCTCATTGTAGTTTTGATTTGCATTTCCCTGATGATGAGTGATGTTGAGCATCTTTTCATGTGTCTGTTAGCCATCTGGATGCCTTCTTTGGAAAAATGTCTGTTATGTCTTCTGCTACGTTTTTTAATTGGATCGTTTGTTTTTTGGGTGTTGGGTTGTATAAGAAGTTCCTTATATATTTTGCAAATACTTTCTCCCATTCTGTAGGTTGCCTTTTAACCTTTTGATTGTTTCCTTCCCTGTGCAGAAGCCTTTTATTTTGATGTAGTCCCAGTAGTTTATTTTTGTTTTTATTTCCCTTGCCTCAGGAGACACAGCTAGGAAAATGTTGCTACGGCCAGTGGCAGAGACATGACTGCCTGTTGGTTAAGCCCAATTTATTGACTTTCTTCTTTATATATATATAGACTTTTTTCATTGACGGATTGTTATCATGTTGAAGAACTATTTGCCTAACCCTACTAGGTCATTGGGATTTTCTCATGTTTTCTTCTAAAAGTATCATGTTTTTAGGTTTTATGTAAGGTCTGTAATCCATTTTGAGTTACTTTTTATATAAGGTATGAGATGGTGTTGAGGATGATTTTTTACATATGATTGTCCAAAATGTTCCCATATCATTTATTGACAGGACAATCTTTTCTTCATTGACTTGCCTTTGCACTTTTGTAAAACATCATTTGGGCATATTTTTGTAGTCTTTATATTCTGATCCATGAATCTATGTGTCTAGCATTTTGTCTATACCACAGTCTTCATTACTGAAGCTTTAGAGTAAATCTTAAAATGGGAAGCATATTTTCTCCAATCTCATTCTTGTTTAAAAATTTTTTTTGTTAATTCTGCCCCCTTTGCCTTTCCAATTTTGGAAATAAGCTTGTCATTATCTAACAAAATAACCTGATGTGATTTTGATTGGAATTGTATTAAATCTATGAATAAATTTGAGGAGAATCGCTTCTCAGCCTTTTGGCTAAGATCAAGTGTGAATAAATTTGAGGAAAATTGACATTTTTACTATGCTGAATCTTCTAATTCATGAATATGGCATGTCTCCATTGATTCAGATTTTCTTTATTTCTTTCCTCAGAATTTTATAATTTCAACATATAGATGTTATCATATTTTATTAGATTTCTACCTGTGTATTTCACCTTTTGGAGCTTTGTAAATGGCATTTTTGTAATTTCAGCTTTCAGTTGTCTGTTGGCAGTATATACAAATATGATTGTTTTTTGTGTGTTAGCCTCATGTCCTGTGACCTTGCTAAATTCCCTTATTAAATATGGGAGGTTTATTTTCTTTAGATTCCCTGGGGTTTTCTGTTTACATGATCATCTCATCTGTAAATACAGTGTTTTATTCCTTCCTTTTCAATCTGTATGCTCCTTCATTCTTTTACTTGCTTTATCACCAGCCTGACACTTTTAGTACAATGTTGAATACATGTGGTGAGATGAATCTCTTTGTCTCCATTTCAGGGGGAAATCACTCAGTCTTTCACTACTGAGTATGTTAGCTGTGGGTATTTTATAGTGATCCTTTATCAGGGTAAGAAAGTTCTCTTCTATTAGTTTTCTGAGAGTTTTTTTTTTATCATGAATGTATGCTGGATTTTATCAAATGCTTTTCTGCATTTATTGATATGATCATTAATTTTCTTCTTTAGACTGTAAATATTGTGGACTATACTGGTTTATTTTTGAATATTGAATCAGTATTGTATTCACTGAATAAATCCCATTTGGCCATAGTGTAGTATTCTTTTTATGTATTGCTAGATTTGATTTGCTAACATTTTGTTGAGGATTCTGTATCCATGGTCATGATGGATATTGATCTGCAGGTTTTTCATAGTGTCTTTACCATGTTTTGTTATCAAGGTAATGTTGGAATCCTCAGGAAGTGTTCTCTATTTTCTGGAATAGATTGTGTAGAATTAGTGTTATTTATTCTTTAAGTTTTTTGGTAAATTTATCAGTGAAACCATGTGGGTGACTTCAATTTCTTTAATAGTTGGAGGACCATTAACATGATCTATGTAATCTTGGGTGAATTTTGGTTATTTGCCAGAAGCTTTATAGTTGTACCTTTCCCGGTTAGGTCTGCAGTGCACCTGGAATTAACTTCTGTGTATGATTTGAGGTAGGAGTCAAGTTTCATTTTCCCTTAGTAGGTTTCTCTAATTGATCTGTCACCATTTACTTAAAGTTACTGTAATTTGCCACTATCCTGCAGTGCTATCTTTGCCAGAAATCAAGTATCCGTGTGTGTATGGGTCTTTTTCTGGGCTCTCAAATCTGTTCCATTGGTCTGCATGTCTCTCTTTGGACAATACCACACTATGCTAGTTACTGTAGCTTGGTAAGTTTCTGTATTGAGGAAAATAAGTCCTCCTGCTTTGTTTATCTTCCTCCAGGTTTCTGTGGCTATTTTTGGTCCTTTAGAAACAATTCACCAAATTCTACCAAAAATGAAATATTGTTCTTTGCAGGAAGGGTGGTCAAAACTATTTAATCCAACATTAGAAGTAGAACTACATTGGGGCGCCTGGCTGGCTCAGTTGGTGGAACATGCAGCTCTTGATCTTGGGGTTGTGAGTTCAAACCCCATGTAAGGTGTAAAGATTTCTTAAAAACCCAATCTTAAACAAAAGGAAGTGGAACTACATTTGTTCTATTTTTTTTTTTTTTAATTTCATGGGGCGCTTTAGTAGGCAAGCTACCATGAAAATCACAGACCACCACATCAAATATCTTAAAATGATAGAGAATATATTTTTGAAAAACAAAACTCACCTGACAAGAAAGGAAGGGGAATCTCTGGGACCAAAAATGTCAAGGAATTACAAATCCTGAAAATTGATACAAATTACAAACAATAGAATCAAATACAGAAGTAAGCCATTATTGGAAATAATTGGATTTTGAAAATAAAATAGTTATGTTTGATATATTTAAAGAAATAAGATAAGTTGAAAGTTAGACTAACAAGATACTATTAAAAAATGACCAGGGGCGCCTGGGTGGCTCGATTTGGTGAAGCGTCTGCCTTTGGCTCAGGTCATGATCCCGGGGTCCCATGTCGGGCTCCCTGCTCAGCGGGGAGCCTGCTTCTCCCTCTCCTGCTCCTCCAGCTTGTGTTCTCTCTCGCCACTTCTCTGTCAAATAAATAAAATCTTTAAAAAAAATGACCAGGCGGATTAGAAAAGACCATTTAGAACTTCTAGAAATAAAAATTGGGATGAAATTAGAAACTCAGTGGGGGCGCCTGGGTGGCTCAGTCTGTTAAGCATCTGCCTTTGGCTCAGGTCATGATTTCAGGGTCCTGGGATTGAGCCCCGCATCCAGCTCCCTGCTCAGCAGGGAGCCTGCTACTCCCTCTGCCCCTCCCCCCTGCTCATTTTCTCTCTCTCTCTCTCTCTCTCTCTCAATAAATAAATCTTTAAAAGAAAAAGAAATTAGAAACTCAATGGATGGGTTGAGCAGATTAAACCCAAAGAGGGATTTAGTGAACTGGAAGATCGTTGTGAAGAAGTTACTAGTAAATCAGGACAAGGAGATAAAAGCGTAGAGAAATTTGAGACATGGAAGATAGTATGAGAAGGTCAAACATTTGTCTAGTCAGAGTTCTAGAAGGAGATAATAAAAAAGATAGAGAAACAATATGTAAAGGGATAATGGCGGAGTTTCTCACGATGCATGAAAGATACCAGTCCTCAGACAGTCTGAAGACTCATGAGCAATTTAGTGTAGTCAGATGTGATTCTTTTCCTTTTTTATTCTCTTAGCTGTTTTCTGGCATTTCTTCAATGGCATTTATTAAATTTTCAGTTGAATCTCTTTTTCCCTGGGAATCTTGTGGCTTAGGCCTCATCTCTGAGACTGGTTTTATCTTTCTCTTCACTTTTTTCCCTGAGTACAGTCATTCAGTTCTTATTTCATTATGTCGTTTTCTTCAACCATTTCTGTCCTTTGTTTTAATGATTTATTTATTTATTTATTTGAGAGAGAGAGAGAGAGAGAGCATGAGCGGGGGAGAAGCAGAGGGAGAAGCAGACTCCCCTCTGAACATGGAGCCCCATGCTGGGCTCAATGCCAGAACCCTGAGATCATGACCTGAGCTGAAATCAGGAGTCAGACAGTTAAACGACTGAGCCACCCAGGTGCCCCATCCTTTGTTGTTGTTGTTGTTGTTTTAAGATTTTATTTATTTGACAGAGAGAGAGAGAGTGAGCACAAGTAGGGGGAGGGACAGGCAGAGGGAGAGGGAGAATCAGGCTCCTGGCCGAGCCGGGAGCCAGACGCAGGGCTCGATCCCAGGACCCCAGGATCATGACCTGAGCCGAAGGCAGACACTTAACTGACTGAGCCACCCAGACGCCCCAGCAGCACTTTCTTAATAGCCAAAAAGTGAAAATAGCCCAAATGTTCATCAGCTGTTGACTTGGTGAATAAAATGTGGTATAGCCACCCGATGGAATGCTATGCAGCCATGCAATGAAACAACATTGGTGAACCTTGGAAACAGTATGCTGAGTGAAAAGAAGCCAGTCCTCTCAGAAGACCACATACTGTATGATTGCATTTGTATGGAATGGCTAGAATAACAAGTCTTTAGAGACAGAAAATAGATTAGTGGTTGTTGCCGAGAGCTTGGGGAGATGGTGAGACTGGGGGTGACAGCAAGGGGTGCAGGATTTCTTTTCGGGGTAATGAAAATATTCTAAAATTAATTGAGACAATGATTGCACAAATATGGGCACACACTAAGCACCACTTTAAATGGGAGAATTGTATGGTCTGGAATTATAGCTCGATAAAGTTGTTAGAAAAGAAGCCCTAAAGAAGATTTTAGCAAAATAAATCCAGCACTATGAAAAGCTGAGAATATACACAAACAAGTTGAATTTATCCCAGGTATACAAAGTGGGTTTAACATTTCAGATTCTGTTCTTGGACATCTCCGTAAAGATGGCAGATTGACCACAGGCTTCTGTTTTCCCTCCATCCCAAAACGGCCTCTAAAATGCCAGTAAAGGGATTTGTTAAAGGCATAAACCCGTAAGGGTGTAGAGAATTGAAGAAGATAATAGCAGTGACACTGGAAACTGGAAAGCAGATGGATGTGTGGTAAATGACTTATCAGACCCAAGAATACACCTAAATACACCGGGGTGGTGGTGGGGGTAGGCAGAATATATTACAGAATACCAAAAGGTTCAGGACTTGTCCATGGCACATAGTTCTGGAAGTAGGGCTGAAGGGAAAGAAAAAGAAGAGGTAGTGGTCCAAAGTCCGCCTAAGCAGCAGGTAAATCTCAAAATGCCCCTCCCTCACTGCATGGTGGTGGACTTCTATGACTTCCCTTCTCTACAGAAAAGTTGAAGTGTAGTCTCTGGAGAGAGTAAAACAAGGGTTCTCTGGACTGGTTGGGGGAGACATTAGACCCATATGACCAAGAATACTATACTAAACACGAGGTGATGAGGTAAATATGCCTAATGGATATGAGAACCATTCCCGAACCTTTTCCCTATAGCCCCTCTTTTCCACAATGTTGACAATCAGACCTTTCCAACTGAGTCCTGGAGATCGGAAGATAGTTCTCTGGGTTATTTGAGCAGCCCGAGGAAGACCTAGGTCCTGACATTGAGGGTTACCCAAGAAAACCATCCAGTAGGATCCCCCTGAAGTGAACCCCACAGTTGACAAGCACCACCAATGTACTCAAAGCTTCCAGTCAACTTTTGGGTCTCTGGCTCTTAAATATGAGCAGACAGCCAATGATTTCATCAGACCTTTCTGGAAAGCTCTGGCATGAAGGGTAGAGACCAAAACAGATCAGAGGAAACAAAAACTGTGCCAGAAGGGGAAACGTTTTTTAAAAATCTATTATTGCTTTTTTTTAAGTTTTAATTTTAATTCCAGTTAGTTAACATACAGTGTTATATTGGCTTTTCAGAGTACAATATAGCGATTCAAACTTCCCTACAATACCCTGTGTTCATTGCGACAAGTGCACTCCTTAATATTTTCTGAGAGATGAGCTATAACAACTATAAATTAAAAGAATCTTTTAAGTCAGTCAAGACATTAACATATTAAAGGAGAAAATGATGTGCTTATCTCAGTTGCAGAACAAGTATTTGATAGAACTCAACATCTGTTCACATCTGGGAACTTAATATGTGACTAGAAGTTGCATCACGGGAGAAAGGATGGCTATCCATGTGGGGTAAAAACAACAAATAAGGAATGGATTGTGTCCCTATTTCACCACCAGAGGTTCAAATCAGCTCAGGCTACATTATTACTTAAACGTGAAGGGCAAAATTTTATATAATTTTAGGAGAAAATATGGGGCAACAAGTTACGACCTCAGCATCTGAAGGATTCCTTAAAATACAAAAACAAGCCACTCAGGAAAATATTACATTAAAAGTGGGAACGACTCTTCATTTAGAAAATATTATAGGGGCGCCTGGGTGGCTCAGTCGATTAAGCATCTGCCTTCGGCTCAGGTCATGATCTCGGGGCCCTGGGATCCCTGCTCAGCGGGGAGTCTGTTTCTCCCTCTCCCTCTGCCTGCCACTCCCCCTGCTCGTGCTCTCTCTCACTCTCTCTGTGTAAAATAAACGGATAAAAATCTTTAAAAAAAAAAAATACCATACAAAAAAAAGAAAGAAGCAACTATAAACCGTGATAGGCCATTTGTAATGCACATCACCAACAAACGATTGCTCTCCAGGATATATGAGGAAGTACTGAGGAAAATTAGAAAAATGCAAGCACCTCCATATAAAAGTCAGCAAAACAAAAACAAACCCGAATAGACAATTCACAGAAGAGAAAAAAATAGATGGTCCTTAAACATATGAAAAGTTGGCCAATTAATTATCAAGGCCATGGAAGATCAGACCACAGTAAGAAACCATTTTCCCCAAATGAAGTGGGAAAAACATGAAACACTCTGATATTACTGAGCAATAAGAGCTCGGATACACTCCTGGTAAGTGTGTAAGTTGGTGTAACCACAGCCCGCTGAGAAATAGTTTGGTGATAGTAAAGTCGGAGATGTGAAAAGTTCAAAACAGGCAAAACGAAACTATGTGATTTAAGGGTACTTACACACTGTCAAAACCGTATTTGAAAAGAGTGGTAAATGCAAAATTCAATATAGTGCTTAAGTCTCTTGTGAGGAGAGAAAGGTCGTAGAACAGGTGCTTCTGAGGCTGTGGTGAGTCCACAGGTGTGTGTCACACGCGTTACACTGTTCACGTTGTATAAAGTGAGTGCATTTGGGGCACCTTTACTAGAACTTTAATAAATGTGATTGATCTTTTGGGGATTTAGTCTCTAAGGTATCTTGGGCCTGTCATATCCTTAAAACAGTTTCTTCTTGAGGGAGATTTTGGCCAACTGTTTCTGTGGTGAATAAAGGTATAGCTTTTTGTGTGAAAGCTGAATTGTCTATATTGTATTTCAGACAGGGAGGCTGCTCTGTGCAGGTCTCATCACGCTCTGTTGTGATCTGATGGCCAATGCTCAAGTGGGGACGTGACTCGCCCTCCTTCCCTTGGGCAGCCCGGCCAGATATCCTTAACCTGAGTCCTGTGATGTTGGTTTCTAGAATCACAGAACAGCCAACTCCCTAAGCAGCAGTGCTCTGACATGGACAAAGAAATTCAGCCTGGATTATTTAGCTCTGGACTTCAATTCAGCATCACCAGCCCCTATACAGCAGGTAGGAAGTACCTTGTGTCTGAGAATTCCCAGGAGATTCCTTTTCTGTTTAGATTTTCCTGATGATTCAACCATGCATGTTCTCTTTGGAAGGTCTTAAATACACAGATATGTATCGGCGTAGGAGGGGTTTGCTTAGGGAAGAAGGAATGGCGGAGTTTGGTTAGACTCTGGCGAGCTCGCAGTTGGAAATGGAACCCCTCAGTAAAGTAAATAAAGTAATACCCCTCAGTAAACCCCTCACATGCCAGGCTGGGCAGTTTTGACTCCTTTAGATAGTATTCTCATCTGTAAAGTGGGGATCAGAAATAATAGCATTGACATCAAGGCCTGTCATGAGGATGAAATGAGTTAATATGTGTAAGCGACCCTAGCTGGTCACGCACTACACAGTGTAAGCCACGGAATGAATGAATGGTAAGCAATGCAAAACAGCTAAATATTTTTGAGCAAGGGATGGTTGTAATCTAAAATGTGCCTAAGGATATATATTGTTTGATGAGAAAGGCAATTTAGCTGAACAGGATATACAGTATGATTCCATTTTGTGTGTGTGTGCAGGAAAAAAATCTGGAAGATTTCCCTTTCCTTTTGCCAAATGCACTCCCACTTCTCCTTTACCTTTAATTTCATTCCCAAAACCTGAACTGATATTCTAGAAAAACCAGTCAGACCAACAAGTACAAAAGGGTGCCTCAGTCCGTTTTGGTACAGAGCTCTGCAGTCAAGACAGACAACCCCCAAGGCTTAGTGGCTTGCAACAGCCAAGGCCTTTTCCATTATTGCTCACAGACCAGTCGGCTGCAGGCCAGGTCATCTTCCATCCAGGGCCCAGGAGAAGCAGCCCCCCCAGCTGAGGCACGCTGGTCTCGTGGCAGAATCACATGCTAGGTCTTTTCCCTTTCGGGTCGGCATGTGTCACCTCCACTCACGTTATATTGGTCAGAGCGGACTGAATGGCTAGAGTGAAGTTGAAGGGAGCCCAGGAAAAGAGATATTTAAACATCTACCCAAAGTGTAAGGATTCTGCAGGGAACGACCCAGGAGGAAGGGGCAGCAAATATTTAATGACGCTGTAATCTACCCCAAAAGGGCTGACATTTTCCTGATTTTTTTTTATTCAGTGTAATGAAAACCTTTTTGTTCTCCCCCTTTAGAAACTTCTCCTTTCAGAAGAGCAAAGAGTCGACTATGTCCAGGTAGATGAGCAGAAGACCCAAGCCCTCCAGAGCACAAAGCAGGAGTGGACGGATGAGAGGCAATCTAAAGTGTGAGACATGTGCTTGGGCCATGTATGGGGCAGGGAAGCTCGGGGCTTGCTCTGAGTTTTTTTTTTGCCAGAATTGCACCGATGGTCAATGCAGGTCAAGATCCAGAGAGAATCTGTAATTTCTGTGGGCTTGGCAAGAACCTTGGGGAGAGAGGATGTATTTGTACACGTTGAATGGGGAGGAGAAGGAGGTAGTTTCCCAGCCCCCACCCCCACCCGTCTCGGCAGTGGCCTTCCCCAGCCACGCTAGCCCAGAGCCTCTGGGATGCTTGGAGTTGGCTCCGCAGACATGAGAGGCAGCGATGGAGGATTCCGGAGCCACGGACTGTAATGTAGAAAACTCCATTCATTCAGGCAGGGTAGGATCAATAAAAACAAGACTTGGGAGCATATTTTCCCCAGAGTTTGGTTGAGAATCTCTCCAGCAGAGCATTTGGAGTGCAGATCAGAGCCAGTATTGCCACCAGACAGAATCATTTGACTCTCATGCTTGAAAATTCTGACCTCTTCTGTGCTTCCTGGGTCACAAACTATACTGGCAGAGAGGCTCCTGGAGACCATCTTGCCCCAGCCCCTGAAGACCTGGTTGAGGGGATCAAACCCAGAGATGGTGGGAGAATCTGCATTCCTTACTCAAAGAGTCCAACAGACAAATCATTTCTATCCCCAGAGAAAGACAATTCAAATGAGATGGGCAGTCAGTCCCGGGCTCTGTGATAAGCACATCAGATGACGCTGGAACTTCCGTTGCCGCTGGCCTTTCTTGGCATGTTTTCACATGCATCATCTCATCTCTTTCCTAAAAAACCTCAGAAGCTAGGCTTGGCAGAGATTGTTGCCCCACTTGGAAGGAAAGAAAACCAAGAACCAGAAGAAGGAACACTGCCTAAGGTCCCTCACAGAGCCAAGACCCAGAGTGAGGCCTAGAATAGAGTTGGCCCGGCTGCCCATTGCAGGCTCATTCCACCATCTTACACTGCCTCAGAGGATTTTGATGAAATCTATTAGTTTGGTCACCCTTGGAGACATGAGGAACCCGTGCAGACACAAGATGAGTCATCATCTCCTCTCCCTTTCATAGGATTTTGAGCAGGTGCTTTCTTGCTTGAAAGGTATGCGTGTCAAGCCAGGTTTTCTTTGTGTGGTGTTCAAATGGGAAACTCTCACATAATCAGTAGTTACCATTAGAAATACCTCTTGACGATCACTGTGAAATCCATTCTTGGATTGCGTGGTGCCCTTGCAGTGTGCTTCCTGTGAGCTGGCTAATGCTAATGGAAGAATTTTTTGTCACCTCGGGAAGGCACGAATCGTCCCTGGCTGTCTATGCTGGACCCAAGCTTTTGAGTGATAGATAGTTATGACCAGAAAACAAACACAACACGACAAAACAAAAAACAATGAGTTCCATCCTCAAATTTCCCGATGAATTTTTCCCTTCTGTTTTAGCGATGACTAAATCCTGAGAGCAAACAGTCCCACTCTGTCGTGAAGGCATCATGTCACCCCCTCTTTGATGGGGCACTGGGGCCCAGGGGACCCAGACAAAAGTCTCAGTCGGGCACAGGGTTTTATTTAATGGCCCTTCTTGATTCTTCTGAGCACCTGCAGCCAGAAGACAAATTGAACAACTGGGAAGTAAGCGGATACTGGTCCACCATTCTGCCTGGCTTTGTGTCTTGTAGGAGGATGGATTGACTAGGCAGGCAAGTTGATGACAGGGCCAGTCGGGGCAGTTGTAGGCTTTGCTGTAGGGTTTTCGGGTTTCAAACTGCCCCAAAGGTAAGTAAATGTCAGTCCTGGCTTTTCAGACCATTAAAGAAGTACTTCTGACGTTCAAAGCAACAGGACCTGGTGACCTCATTTTCTTCCCAGAGGAAAGTGGGGGGAAATTGTTGAAAGCTTTAAATGATATGAGTCCTTCATGAGCCGGGACGGAGAAATGAGAGGTCCCTGCAGCAGCCCACACCATGTCACAGCACTCAGGTCAGAGCCTGTAAGGATCTGCCTTCTTCCCTGTGTGACATAGAGCCTCAGGCAAGAGGGCTGTCTGACAGGGCTGTCAGTTCTAGATGGTACCTGCCTTTGGGGGGAGGGCACCTGTATTTAGATTCTCGATTACCTGACAGAGGCTGGTGCAGAAAAGTTATATGCCCAAGTGCCAAGAACCACCCCAGACTGAAGACAGATCAGAAAAGAAAATACAGCTGAAATTGTTTCAGTAGTGAAATGGCATCCAATTGACCACACCCAAAACCTCTTTCTACAGAATATTTCCTGGAAGTAGTGACCACACGAAGCAATACACACTCGAGTAGTGTGACCTGTTTGGGAGCAATTAATTAGGGATTTAAAAAAAAAAAAAGATGCCTTTCACGCTCCTTTCCAGGGTGTGTGTGATTATGTCCCGCTTTGATAAGGCTGCTAATGGATGGTTACCCAAAAGCATAAGGACTCAGGGATACAAAGTACAGGTAACTTTGAGCTGACAGCAGTGCATACTCCTGAGAGAGGCACCGTAGGTCAGAATGATGCCAGCCAAATCCTGCTTTCCTGTGGAGGTAATGCATGTGTAACAGGGCTACAAATCTGACCAGGGCTGAGGTTTGGGGTTTTTTGAAAAATGGAAATGATCCCAGATAGCATTCCGAGTCAAGTACACACAGCATGTGCGTACGCTGCACCGGGTGCCCTTTCCCAAAAGCCGGCAGGACAGCGGAGACATCAATCCCACAGTTTTCCGTAGTTCCTTTTTGCTTTATTCCATCTCATTTCGTTAGGAAATTCCTCCAAATCGGGTTGTGCAGTGCAGAAGGGTTTCAAACCTGCGAGTCCCTAAGGCCACAAGCCCAGGAACTTTGGGAGTTAAGCTTTCCTTGTGGAGGGAAGAGCTCAAAGGCACAGAATCATCCTGTGGAAGTCCATGTCCAGGCCTCTTCCCTAGAGCGAGGATACGCTGAACTGTGACCTTTAGATCTGAGTCAGACTGAAGGCTCCCCTCAGGCCTGACTTTCTCCTCTTGAGGCCTTCTCGGTCCTTGTTAATACCATCCTTGTACCCATAATCATGCTGATGTTAAAAAATTCGTTATGTTCTTACTGTTTCATTTCTGGCATTAATAAAAGTCTTATAAGAGGGAATCATACTCAAGTTCTCTCTTATTTGTTTAAAGTGATGACATTCAATATAAGTGCAGAACACACTTGGAAAGTTCAGTATGTGAACATAGACCCCACTGCCATTTGCAAGCAGAGCAAACTTAACCGAACTCACAAGGAATCACCTACATCCATGTTATTTTGCTACGAACAGTTGAGCACTGCTTCTGCTCCGCCGAACCACATCTTGACACCTCTTTTCTTCATCAGAAACTAACTTCAGTAATTGGCAAAGTCCGTGACCCTCCCTGATAACACATATAACAAGATCTTCCTCATTACTGACCTTAAAAAGCAACAGCCCCAGCCTGCCTCTCCCTAACAGAAGTGTCCTGGGCCACCACCCTCTCTCCATGGCTGAGGCTCCCAGCTGCTCTGGATACTGGGTCAGTGGCATCTCTATGCCATGAAGCAAGACAGGGACAACCGGAGTGGTGGGGGCTCAGGTTTGGGGCAACAGGCCAAAGGCAGAGAGGAGAAGAAGCCACATGAAATTACTTGCCCCTGAGAAGTATGAGGCTGACCTCATGAATGCTTTTTCCCAGCACACCCCGGCCCAAGCCCCTGACCCAGAGAAGAACAGGTTGGCCCACAGGGCTGGTGCTCTCTTGGGATATGCACCCTAGGAACCCAGCCATCATGCTATGAGGAAGCATGCACCACATGGAAAGGAACCGAGGCCATTGGCCCATAGACTGGGGGACTGAGGCCTCTTGGAAGCAGATTCTTGGAGCCCGACACTGAGCCACCACCGGCGCCTGACCCCCGGGGACTGCCCAAGCCCGAGGTGTGTGTGCCAGCTAAGTGGCTGGTTTAAGTCACTAAGTTTGGGTGTGGTTGTTACATAACGGTAGTTACTAGACCACCAACCCAAGATAGAGGAGACAGGAATTGAAAACACTAAATTTGTACATTCTACTGTATTAGAAGGTAGTGAATGGCATGGAAAATAAAAAGCAGTGGGAAAGGAATTGCCTGTGTGTGGGTCTGTGGGGGGCCAGCTGCTTGAGTAAGTAAGGTGAGAATATGAGCTTTGGGAAGACTTGAAGGAGATGAGGGAGTAAGCCAGCAGCTGCATGTGACAGAGCATTCATGGCAGGGAGAACAGACCGTAGGGCCCTAATTCAGAAAACCTAGAATGTTGAAGGCACGGCCAAGAAGCTTTGTTGGTCACTGTTAAGACCTTTGCTTATGTTCTGGGTGAGAATGGAACCAGTGAAGGGAATGGAGCGGTGGAGACACGTGATCTGACTCAGCATTTTGAAAGCAAGAATCACTGTAGCTTCTCTGTTGAGAATAGAGTATAAGAGGTTAACACTAGAGTCAGGGAGAGCAGGTGGCAGATTACTGCACTCACACCCACCAGAAGACAGTTGCCTGGACCCCCATGGGTGTATCAATAGAAGGGGTGAGATGTCCTATTCTAAAGAGTTTGAATAGAAATAACCTGCTGAAGAATTGGACAGGTGCCAGGAGATGAAAAGGAGTCAAGAATGATCCTGGGGGTTTTCCCTAAGCAACTTAAAGAATGAGGTCAACATGCCAAACAAAAGTTAGAAAGACTGGGTGAAAAAGTCTTCTAGGGATCAGAAGCCAGAGACCCAAAGCTTTTCAGAACCACCAAGAGCTACACTGGAAAAGGGGAAAGACTTGGGGTACCTAATGGCTCAGTCGGTAAAGCCTCTGCCTTGGTCTCAGGTCATGATCCTGGGGTCCTGAGATCAACCCCACATTGGGCTCCCAGCTCAGCGGGGAATCTCCTCCCTCTTCCTCTGCCTCTGTGATCTCTCTCTCTCAAATAAATAAAATCTTAAAAAAGAAAAGAAAATGAGAAAGACTGTAAAAA